TGCCTGCCAGCATAAGGAATGCAAAGCAACTCCCAAATGTTACTGTTCCTGTTATGTGCTGGTTATTAGGCATATCATCACCAACAAATCATGATCCTGAGCAAATTCTATTTGTAAAGAGTCTTGCTTTGCCAAGACTAGTAAACAGAAATACTTTTCTAGACAGTCTTCAGAAAGAAGTCTCCTAAACACAATGGAAAATAAACATAATTTTTTCAGAGTTTCCAATAATGTTTCAAAAATGAGAGAAAAAGAGTCTCAAAAAAAAAAAAAGCCAAGTTATCTTCTCTCACAGCCTCCAGAACACTGAGAACACTGAAATCCACAAGCAATGTTTAACTGTCATGCCAAACTCTTGAGTCTTTTAAAATACAGTTCAATAAAATCTCAAGACCCCATCAAGTCTTCTGGTTTCTTTTTAGTCCACACGCACACATTTAAGCAGAAACACTGGTGAATTCTAAACATGAGACTGAGGGGAGGAAGTCACTTCCTCACTTTTCAGTTCCCTCGGCATTTATCCGAGCATCTGCATCAATGCTCAGCTTTCTTCAAAGAGAGCAGAGCTGCTGCACTTGCAGTGAAGCCCCCAGCCACGTGGCTGGCCACATGCCGGCTTCTGGATGTTTGTTTTCAGCTAGTCGGCTTAGGCTGTATAAAAATCTTACCAGAAAACATGCAAGTGGAAATAGGCAGCAGTAATGCATTTTCCTAACACACAGGTGTCCAGATCTTTTCTTCATGTGCACTCTAGCACACCCTTGTAGAAATGAAGCCAGAGGCTACTGAGAACCACAGGCATTGCCCTATTCAATTGCAATGACTGAACTCCTGAGCATTTAAAGGGTCCAGTCCCACTTTTATTGAAGTCAAAACAAAAAAAATCCATAAACTTCAAGCTGAACGGACATCAAAACACAGCAGAATGTTATACAAATGAAAGATGCTTTCTAAATCAAGCATGAAATAGACCAACAGGAGAAACAGATGCAATATTTTACTTGTGAGCAAAAAAACCTAGTTTGTCAGGGGATGCTCCCTTTCCTCTGGGAGCTTTGCTTCAAAGCTCCTACAACATAACACATTTACAACCAAATGCAAAAGAAAAAAACAACCACCACCACAAAAAGATAGCTAGAGGTTTGGGTTTTGCTGGTTGGTTTTAATTATTACTATTTTTTAATCACTAGACTTGATAAACTTGAGTTCTGAAATGATGCTCTTAGCCATGATATTTTATTATCAATAAGCCATCACAATTCATCATAAATTTTGAAAAGTGAAAGGCTGGAGGTTTTTTTCATACCTTCTTTAAAAATATTGGAAAAACCAAAAACTAAGAAATAACTGAACCTTGTAAAAACTGATCTCCTTATTCCTCATCCCATGGATTTACAACTGAGAATAAATTACCTGTTACTTGCTTGTCTGGAAGAGATGGGATTGGAATGGCTAATCCAAATTTAACCAGGAGACGTTCATACAACCAGTCAAAGTGCTTGTATCTGTGGTTGACAGACCGATTAGTGTTCTGGAAGAGAAACACAACTCTGAATTTTGACAGGCATCTACAGATAGTAACATGAAACAAGCGTGACCAGAACAATAATTATGTGGAATGTAAATAAGGTTTATGATTTAGAGCCTTTAATCTGTAATTACAGAAGAACTTGAAATGCTAGAACTAAGTAACTCGTTGAGGAAAGTGTGTGACAATTCACACAACTCACTACCTTGTTACCAAATCACACCAAATGTATTATTTATATGTACAAATGACCTATATTTGTGAGAGAAAAGATTCTGTTTCAAATACACTTACAGTGCAGGTCAGCTGATATTCAATGTAGCTCTTGAGACCATACATTTTAGAACCTTTTTTTGGATCTGCCACCACACAGTCAAATGTAGAGGTAGGATAAACCCACATTGGGCCATAATCACCAATCTGTAAGAAATTGCAAATATCTTTAAGAACAACACATAACATCTGCAAACAAAGTGACAAATACTTTCCTCTCTTTACTTAAAAGTTTCTATTGATGTCAGTGAGAGCTTGATAGTCAGGAAATAAGAAGGGTTTCTCACAACCACAGATGATTGACCACAGTTATGTTTATCTTACTATGTATTTTACCATTTTTCCCAAACAGCAAAGGGGTGGTGAACTCTAGGGATTTTTACTTCAACCACATTTCACTAGGACTGCATATATCTGTGAGAGTTTAGTCTTTAGGTCAGAAAAGGACCTGACCATTATGACTGACAACTGCAAACCTTCAGGAATGTAGCTCCTATGTATTAGATGGCTATCTAAATAACATTAAAGACAGTGTAATGCATTTTCTCTGCCTCACAACCCCAAAAAGGCTTATTTTCATCATCACAAGTAACGCAGATCCAGCATGAGAAAAAAAGTACCAAAAAAAAAAAAAAAATCAGAACACTTTGAAGAAAGGAGTTAATATTTGACCCTGAAAAATCCTTTAATGATATATGGCTTTTTAATGTAGTCTAGCAGAACTTTAAATACTTAGATGGTACACAGTTTTACTATGACAGTTCCATTTCTAATTTTATGTTCAGTATCAGTTTCTTCTGACCAAAATACATATGGCAACCTTGAGGCTAAAAATTAAGTTGAGGAAAAAGGGAAGAGTGAGGAAGACTCGGGGTGGGGTGGAAATCAACCAAGCAACCAACAAAGAAACCAGCAAAAAAACTCCCCACCCAACAAAATCCACATAAAAAAGAAACCCAAACAGAAAACCCCAACCCCAAAACAAACCACACCACCCACACACAAAAACTACATACGTGTCCCCAACTTACAATTATAGGAATTTTCTCTTTTGGTTTTGCTAGCTGCTTTGCCAACAGATACTGTTCCATCCCAGGTTTTGCAAATCCAGGAAACCTAACAATAAAACAAAGTGATAAGTTTATTCCACATTTTTCCTTCACTTGACATATACACAATTACCTGCCACTAGGAAAAAAATCTTGTTATTTTGCAAGTACATAAAACAATTGATGTTTGGGTTTGCAACAAGTAGTGTCACAATGATGCAAAGGTCCGGTTGCAAAACTGGAGAAAGCCTCTGCTGATGAACTAAATGAACTGTCTCTGCATCATTAGTTGCTAATTTCAGTTAGCTACTCAAGAAGACTATAATTCTACAATCCTTTTCAACTTTGCTTTCATCCACTTGAAGGTTACCACACAGCAGCTTCTCAGAGTAACAGTTGTTTTAGAACAAACAAACATTAAGTTATAACATGAGATAATGCTAGTATAACCCTGACATAAATCTTAGAACAGCATGAAGCTCTATCTAAAAAAAATAATAAATCAAGCTTTCAGTGGCACAAGAATAAACCTGGGTGATGCATAGACAGGTGAACAGAATTTTTCCCTGCTACTCCTAGCAATTGAAATTGCTCTGGAACTCTGGGGCAGCACATCTGATCAGTCTCACTGTATGGACAAGCCAGCCACTACCTTCCATTTTCATTAACCACACATAGTGTTAAAGGTAGTCAAATTTTAAAGACCCGTAGGTTCAGAAGTTCAGACCTTGCAAAAAGGATCGTTTGCCTCTACAAGACCTCCAAAAAATTAGACAGCTTTGTCATGTACTTTTAGGCTTTCATGAATCTATGTTCTCTGATCACACAAGAAGCATGCTGAGCTACAGATCTCTCTCTGCTTTTACCCCAAAACTGTAACATTTATATTGCATCTTTCAAGGAGGTTGAATGTTCACACATTTACACATCTTGACAAATTCCAATTCTCTTCAATATATACACATTTCGCCTAATTTTTATTACTTGTTAAGTGGTAACTTCATAGCAGCTGCACGAGAATTTCCACGCTGGACCCCGCCAGCCTCTGATGCCTCAGTCTCCTTGTAACCAAGGTAAGACGGTGAAGTTGATTTTGGGTCATCCCAGTCATCGTCCCAGTCATCGTCATCAGCAGCTGCTGAAGTATGGGAAGGGGCAGGGAAAGGAGAAAGTTAGATATTTTCTCTTTAAAAGCAGAAAAAGCTACCTCAGCACTCATACACAAAATATTAAGAGCTAGTTCTGTGTTATGATTCCTCCTAAATTACCATCATCCCCACCAAATACAAGCTGCAAAACACTACACTAGAAATTCATGGGGAGGAGGAGGGGGGAAGACAGATATGTTGGCATGCTAAGATGCATTCAATGATGTTCCGTACTCACAGACTCCACATTAGTATTCTTCAGCTCTGAGTTCTCCTCTTTATTTAAGTCTTTACTACAAAAAGCTAGAGAAACCTTCTGAAAAGCTAGTCATTCCCTAAAATTAAGGATTTAGGAGCCTCTTCCACAGGCCTGAGGGCACAAATTCAAGGATGTTTAAGTTCCAGTTATGTACACTGAACAACATGCCTGAGAATAGATCATGTAAGCACAAGACTTTGGCTTGCCAGATTTCCATACAAGTTTGAGGTGTCCATTACAGAGGATCTGGTTTTTCTTTTTATTTTTAGGTTAAAAAACCCTATTAGTGTCTAGTTTATCCACATGGCAATGTGCTTCTATGAAGCTGGTTTTGTTTGCTTGCTTTTTAATAAGCCATGTTTTATATTTACAAAAGATGAAGCAATTCTTACCTCTACTGTCCACCTATACTGATGTATTCAAAAATAAGAGCATTATTAGCACACCTGGTCCTTGATATGCCTGTGGATGACCAAATGCTGCTGCTGTGTCCCAGTTATTTGAAGCACTGTTTCTCTGGCCAGAAGCACTTTCAGGTTTTGTCGTCCAGTTGTCAACAGCATTTCCATTATCCCAGTTCCCAGATTTCCCAACATGCCAGCTGGACCAAGGATCACTGGCGTTGTTTGCCTACATTGTATAAAGACAAAAGTAAAGAATAGGTTGCTGAAGAAACAAGTAATGACCCCATGCTCTCTTCTTGAAGTCTTTGATGTCTTCAGACTATGAGTTTGCATCCAGCACTGCACTTGCTTGTTTTAGGAGCAGCTGCCAAATCTTACACTCCCAGCTACACCACTCTTGAATGCAGTAAGCACCTGGAAGAACTGATCTGCTTTTCAGCAATATGACACCAAGACATGCTATTAAGAATGCTACACCTCCTCCAGTAAATTTAGCTTTTTGTTCCAACAGCATTAGGAGACACTCTTACCCATGGTAATTATTTTACACCAATACCACAAGTATGGTGTGTGCAAACTATTAATTACATAAAGCCACAGGCTAATTAGCACATTTAGAACAGGAAGGCAAATGTCAAGCATTCAGTTTTTCCAAATGTTTATTTTATCAAACTCAGATTAATAGCCTTACTGAAAGCAAATCATAAATTGCTCACTCACACCATCACTACTGGTGTGACAGTTATGGAGTTAGGGCCAGCAACCTGCTCAGATTCCCTGTCAGATCTTAATTCATTCATGTTGCAGACAAGGGAAGGAAGCAAAAATCTGCCAGGGAACAGTCTGGCATTTCCCTGTAGACCTACTCTCAGCAGAAGCTGCTAGTGAAGTTAATCACATGTACCCTTCTGCTGATGCTGCTGTGGAGGTGGAAACCTCAATGAGAGTGTAAAGCAGACATGTCGCTAACTATTGCAACAATTTGTCAAGTTCATCCACCAGTACCTTGGATTAATAGCTCAGCATCCTGCTCAGCTCCTTGATTTTAACACTACTCTTTGAAAAAGCAATAACTAGTTAAGTGCAGTCTACTCCAAACAAAGTGCAGAGAGTAGCAGGCAGAAAGAAAAAAAAATCCCACACACCCAAAGTGTAGGAGGAAGGAGGAGGAGGAGGAGAAGGGGAAGGAAAGCAAACAAAGCCTACAAAGCTTGTCTTGTTCAGCAGAGGGAGAAACAGCTTTGTAAAAGGAAGTCTCAAAACCTACAGAATCCAGTGCATTATTTTTATCATGAAGCAGCATATCAAAGAACGTATGCCTAATGTAAGTTAATCGCTAATAGACTTAACATTTACATGAATCTTCGAACATTTGCCAGCACAGAAAATTTAATAAAACTCCCAATGAAAGCCAAATTATCCTCTGCACGAATGGTGAATATGCTTGTTTCTTACACACACAAAAAAAAAAAGTACAGCTACTCCACAACTCCATTTTTCTTCACTAAAATTCCCTCTTCTCATTTCAGCTTTGACGTACTACTTAGGAATGAGAGCTCTCACTTTAGTTTTTTTCCCCAATGTCAGCTGAGAGTCAGATTTCACAGACACTCAAACATTCAAGACTCGAAAACATTTAGGACCTGTATTATTGAAATCATATAGCCCCTGCTCTTTAGGTACAGAATCCTCAGTACCTTGAAATTTCAACCAAGCCTCCAAGCTAGAGGGAAATCACCATTTTGAAGATTCACTAGTCAGTGGGTCTCTAGGAACTGATTGCATGAGAGGGATTATGTGGACAGCTTCTATACTGATAGTTTGGGGGACTTTGAGGATGGAACTTGTGCAAGAACTCTACTCCCTAAGAAAGCAATGCCACTAAGGTCTACCTAATTCTGGGCTGATACAGAATGCTACTCACAGCAGTTACAAAGAAGTTGCTGGTAGCTTATGAGGTGCCAGCTTGGTCTTCCTATGATGTTCATCTGAGTTTACGTAAACAGTAAAAAGACAGAATCATTTAGTTTGAAAAAGACCTTCAAGATTGAGTCCAACCATGAAGGGATGTAGGGGGGTGGGGGGTGGAGGCTGCAGGTGGGTCAACACAGGCCATCAGTCAGAGTTTATCATCTTTGCTAAAGGAAAACACATATGTGGGACCCAACCACATGGCAAAGTGTTGTCTCCTCCTAACATAACTTAGAGCACCTAGAAAAGAATAGTTTGCATAATACTCATTTGCATATACTTTTGCAATGTATGTTGTGGTGATCACTGGCAAATGAAAGCCCAGAAGTGGGATGATTGCCAAAAGGCTGAGTAAAGTTTTCCTCTTCTCTGTAGTTCATGGTATATAAGCAGGTGGCAAAGAAATCTTAAAATCTGCTGCAAAACAAGAGGGTTTCTGAAGTGTCCAAGAAAACTCTGGGGTAAGCTCCTGCCCCAAGGCATATCACCCACAGGCTATAGGAGGATTGGAATATGCTATTCCCACTCAGCTTCTTTCAGCCAAAGGTTCCACATTTATTTCCAAGGCACTGGTGAAGAGGGCAAGAGATGGGTTAGGAATGTATATATGGACAAGATCTCAAAGAGCATTTACAGGTCTCTTTTCATTTTTCCTCAAATGTTTGCCTATATACATACACACAGTGGACACTTCTTAGTAAAAAAAAAAGTCTCAGTAAAAAAGAGAAATTAAAAAAAAAAGAAATCCGTAAACGTGAAGGTCTCAGGTATCAGGCCTGCCATCATCAAGGTCCCATAGCACTGTGGATGACCAAGTAAAAGACACAGCATTTATTAAAATGGTATTCTCTGCTCCAGTCAATAGTTCTCTGTAACTCAGCAGCTGACAAATTACGTATAAGATGTCATTTCTGTGGCTTAGCTCTGGTTGAATAAACCCTATTTAAGCCAGCAAGTATTTTGTAAGTGATTAAATTACATGTTCTCATACCTGTAGTTTTCCATAACTGAAATTCGTAATCCTCTGATTTATTTAGCTAGCACAAAAAAAAAAAAAAATAAAAATGAAGAGTCCTTGCAAGAAGATGTTAGTCAATATAACTTGAAACAGCACAACTAACAACCAATCTCAAATGCATAGAAAGAAATGCCACACTACACATAATTAAGAAACTAATCAACCTTCAAATGAAACACTGCATCTCTTCACTCTTCAAGGTAACATCAAACAAGTACACTGAGATTAAAGCCAAGAATCAACTCCTTAAAGGCAGTCAATTTTTTCTCTGTTGTAAACTATTACAGACCTGCTCACTCCTACTGTTCTAGGAGAAAAAACACCACAAAAAGGCTATTTGGGGAACAGACAGAGGGAACACATTACTAAATATTTTAAAAGTCTTCCATTAAGGGCAGATTCAAACTCTCTGTAGAACCATATCGTTACTGGTGGGGGGCTGGGAGAGGCAAGGGGAAGTATAATTATAGTCGAATGAGAAAAAAATTCCACCAGAACAGGAAAATCCTCAGCTTGGGGTTGGAATGTCAGTATCTTCACCAAATGAATCATTACTTACATAGGAAGAAATGAAACAGTTGTTATTTTCCAGATAATCCAAAGTTACAGACAGTAAAACTAAGGTAAGTCACTGAGGCATCTCTCCGCACTGGCTAAAAATCTGGTTTTAACCTTTTGGTCAGGGCAGACTCCTTCCTCATATTAACAGATGCTCCTGACAGATTAATAGATCCATTCTACTCCTAAGGGACAAAAACCAAATCAAATATGACATTCAGATGCTAAAACTAAGCTAAGTATCTAAAAAGATGTAGGTAACACTGCCACCAAACCCAACAACCTCCAACCATAAAAAATACACATTGAAACCTACTCCAGGAGACAGAAGCCATGCTGAAGCAGTGAGTAGAGAAAGTAAGTCTAATCTTATCGAGGGAAGTCCAGGGCAGTCACAGCTGCAATGAGAAGCGTTACACTCCTGAAGAGGGGTTGAGAAGAGACAGCGAGCACAGAGGAATGGCAGAAAATACAAGAAAATTCATGGTGCCTCAGCTGACTACCTTACAGGAATGAACAGACCTCTCCACATTTACAGCTGTCTTACTTACCTGCATGGAGACAAAACCTGATGCATTCTCAGACACTACACTAAACTTGAGTTCTTTGGATAACAGCCTCTGAATAGTTTGGCGTGGGAGGTTTGTTTATTTGTTTTTTAAGTGAACACAGTCGTGTTAAAAATCAAGCTTGTTTCCTCCATGAAGAAACACAAAGGCCTAGAGGCCTACTCTGCAGCAATGACAGAATGGCATTCACTATGCTGTATTTACCACAAAGCATGTGTGCCCATCAGTAAATACTGAAGTAGCTGCCAGGCCCATAATATTTTATGCCCAAACTTTCTTCCTGGTAAACCATTACCTTAGTATTGTGGTCTTGGGCACCTCTTTTGCTTCTGAAGCAAGGCCCTCTTTTCTATTGTACAATTTAAACATGTCTTCTCCTTAAAGAAATGCTTTAGGCAAAGCAAAAGTGATCCTTACTAGACTTTAAAGGGATAATCAACCTTACAGACCCACATAGTAGAATGCTCCTGTAGCTAGAGGAAAGAACCAGGAGAGAAAACCTCCAGAAGCAGCCGACAAGGAGGCAGTAGCAGTGCTGTCCAAGGAACTCATCTGTTCCTCAGCTGCTCCTGTCATCTCACTTCCTTCTAGATGAAACCATCATCCAGCACATCTGCTCCCAGCCCCGCTGTCCCCTTCATGAAATAATCCCTGCAAAGGAGCAGGGCTTTGCCTGCTCACAAACCACATAAAGCCAAGGCACACCCACTGGACACTCCTTGCTTTCAACAGGAAAAAAAAAAAAAGCCACCAGCAGAAGAACTGAAATACTGCCATAAAGAGCAGAGCTCTTAGTTTTTTGGTTCCTTTCTCCACTTCCAATCTCGCTTCCTTATTTGTGAGGTTATTCACAGCTAAAGGGGACTACAGGCTGCATTGCTTCTGCACAGCAAAGGCACAGGATTTCCATCTATTAACTCCTGATTCAGCTCAAAAAAAGCCATGTTTGAAGTACAGAATAGTCTCTTAGAAAGTACACAATTCAGACTTGAGCAAAGAATACTCAGTGATAGGATGAGGGAAAAAAAACCAAAACACCCTCACTGCCTAAAGGAATATTTTTTGCTTTTAAAATTAAACTGGGCTTAAACTTTCAATCACTAAAAAACC